ACTGAATAAATATATCATGTAAAGTTAAAGTTGTTTTCATATGCACTTGAGTCTGATAGGTTATATGATATGATCCTTGAACATGTCTGGATCGTTTGTGTTTTCTTTCCATCGATTAGGTTTTTCGGATGGAAATATTTTGATTGATAACGAAACACTGTATTTAAAGTTGTTTCCCCAATTGTTGTTTTCTTTGATAAATCAGCGATATTTTCGAGGAAATCGCATAATGAAGTATGTTTTGTGTAGGCGGAGGAATAATGTTTTGAATTCGGAGAAGTGTAATGAATTCAAAGTATCTTAAATAAGCGTGTAATTCAAAGTATATCAAATTCAAAGCAAAATGAAAAAGTAACTGATTGCAGTCAGTAGGCACCATGTTGGAATATGCAAACGGATGGATGTATGTAGCGATCTCGGCTATACCTCTTGTCTATATAGCGCGGATGGTCTTGAGGTGAGTAGCGATTTTTTTAGAAGTCTTAATTGAAATGTTCTGTGGTATATTAATTCAGATCATTTGGAATATGTTTATAATCGTCCTGAGTGTGGGAGTATTTGAGGTAGCAGCTAGAATTAGTTATGGTTCTACCTCATTTAGTTGGAAATATCTTTGGGGATTTTTTTACTAGCAGTGGAGAATAATGGACCGAAGAGTTTGGGAGGCGATTGTTTTGTTTTGAAGGTGTAATTCAAAAGACGGATATCTCCGAGAGTTTCAATTGTTTCTATCGTTGAGCGATCGATTTCTCGACGCATCTTTAAAACTTGAAAAATATTTTCCAATTCATATTAATTACAAAAAGTGAAAATTTCAATTTGAGGCGTTTCATGAAAGTCACTGTGAATTGCTGGTTTTGTAATGAGAATTGCAAAGTGCCGTTCAAAGAGCAAAACGGTTTCATTTGTCCCCGATGTGAGCAATATAATGGCTTCACCGAGGACGGTGGCTATAACAAGGATTTACCTGAACAACGAATGGAATATATGAATAAATATATATCACCCACAAAAAAGGTCTGCTTTCATCGATTTTCGGTTGAAACGATTCAGCGAGAGCATTTCTATTTGCTCATCTTCTCGAATTGACATTGTTTTCATAGTCGTGAATTTTGGATCAGTCATAGAATTATTCGGATTTATTTTGTGGATTTTTACATTTTCGCTTTTTGAGAAGTCATCCGTTTGCAGAAGCGTTCGTTCTTGAACGGAAGTATTCACGCTGCTGCAGGAAATCAACCAACAGNAATGTTGTGATAGATTTCAATGGAATAATTGTAGTCAAGCGATCAATGGCTATAGAATGAGTATTTGAAATGTATCTCAGATAAGTGTCCTCCGATAAGGATGGATCGTTTAAGTGAGAACGATATGCGATTTGTAACGGAAATGGTGATGAATGAAGTGACGAGATTTATGGATGTATTGATTTAGTCATAAGTGATTGAAACTTTTCATGAGCAGAATGCGTCTTGGTTTTTAGAAAACTGAACGTCATAGTTATTTGAGTTTTGTTTGGTTTTGATTATGGTTATTGCCAGGATTGGCCAGGCTATCAAACGTTTATAACGTTGCTGGCCACAGTGCTCGCGTCTCAGTTCGCACTGTTTTAGCCTTGATTGAAGCCACCGAACTGGCTAGGTGAGCAGGCCAACCGAACACAACCGAGAAATTAATTAGTTGTATACTTAATTGATAATACTTAATAATTGATATACAATTAATACTTAATTGAATAATTAAGTGAATTGAATCACGGCTGAATTGAATAATTAAGTGAATACTTAATTGAATCATGGCAACTAATTAAGTATTAATTACTTAATTGAATCACGGCAACTAATTAAGATTATGGTTATATCCAATCAAATTAATGTTCTACACGAGATTCCGTAATGTGAGGACTGATTGTTTAAATATATTTTGTGAAAAGACAAGTTTAGCGGTGGAAATATTGAGGTATCATTGCAGAAAAACTTCTTCAACGAGTTGAATCAGTACAAGGAGCGTTTGTATAAAACGTATCCACTTTGTGGCATATGCGAGAAGTATACCCAAATGAAGATTCAGCTTGACAAAGTAATATCATTTTGCTCCTCTCTCATGATATCTTCCGTCATTATCAGATTTTCTGTTTTTTATTTCATTTCTCATCGTCCACCACTCACCATCGTATTTTTCTCTCTGGAAAGTGTACATTTGCGAAGAATTGGACCATAATTCATCTCGTAGAAACTGAATTTAC